GAAGGAAGGAAGGAAGGAAGGAAGGAAGGAAGGAAGGAAGGAAGGAAGGAAGGAAGGAAGGAAGGAAACAAAAAAAAAACATGTGCCCATCATTTGTTTATCCCAGCAAGAGAATGTCGTTTATGAGTCCTCTGAAAATGAGAAATGAGAGTGGTTATACCTCAGTCATATACAGAAAGGTTATATTTGTGTTGTTTGATAGCATTCTACTTTCTTAAGGTGTTGTTCCAGGTACTCAATAGATAGGAAGAAAACATTTAACATATGACAAAAGGGGAGAAGGGTGACATTTACAGCCAGGAGCTAGGGAGGTGATTGCAAAGGTCATCAATGAGTAAACAGATATTAATGGTTAGCGGATAACTGGCTCATAAGCAACTCACATTAATAATTAACAGCAGGAAAAGCAGCATTCTCAACTACACTTGGGCAATTGCAAGCCCACAAAAGCAGGCCCAGAAAAAGCTCCCATGCTTTCTGGTTGCTAGAGGCTGGAAAACTTACTTTGCCTTTCTCGTATTGATTCTAAAACCCATTTTTTAAAGATGGTCATGTTAAAAAGAAAAGTGGATGGATAGAGATGACCAGCCATTTCTTCAGTTTTTTGCTCTTAGTCAAACACCCAGAACCCCCTTGTTTTCCTTACATAGTGAGGAATAAAAATCACTCAGAACTTTATCACTGCCCTACAAACTCTGAAACACTGGAAATGTAAGCTTTCTCATGGCATTATTATTCCCGTGTCTCATATGTAAGCGTAACTTCTAAGACTAGCTTCTCTAGTTCCCTGTGCTCATGTAGCCAAAGCTGGCCTTGAACACAAACTCCATGTATGTAGCCAAGGATGACCTTGAACACCTGGTCTTACAGCCTGTGCCTCTCTGGTACTGAGATTCATGCATACATCACCATCTCTGGCTCACTCCAGAGGAGGGAAGGTGAGTCCAGAGCTGTGGACCTGAAAGCAAAATTTGAGAGGCCAGGAAAGTGGGTGACTGAGGCATGTCTCATAAGAGTGTAAAGAAAACTAGGAACGAGGTGCCTGAGTCCCCACGAATTCACTGGGATCCAGGGCCTAAATGCTGAGGAAGTGTTTAGGGAATCCAATGTTCTGTGAAATCTCTAGTCTCTGGATGTTTAAATGTTCTGGCTTCGTGGAAACCCTGCTAAAGCTAAACAACGGGCATCTTCTGCAGGCCATATGAGGCCACTTTAAATCTCCTGTTCACATTTTTAAAAAAGTGAATGAATGCACAAATAAATAAATGAAGTTCACAAAATTTAACTAAGGAAAAGCAGGGAGGAAAAAAAAATCTCTAAAAATTATTATTGAAATTTTTTCCTCTCCCCCATCTCATCCCCTCCTCCTCCTCTTCCTATGCCCCCCCCCACTCCACTTACCTTTTCTGTCTTGCTATGAAGTTCAGGCTGGCATGAAACTCATACCAATCTTTCTGTCTTAAAGTGTTGGAGTTACAGACATAAGCCACTTAACCGAATTTCCTCCTCCTTCTCCTCCTCTCATTTTTATTCTTTTATTCTTCATGAACTACTATAGCATTCTAAGAAAAAAGTTTAAAAAGAAGAATGAATAAACTAAATCAATACACATAACAAAAAAAAAAAGAGTATCAGCAAAGACCTAAAAACACTCAGAATGGTGTGAGTAAAATTTCCCCTGTGATATTTTTAATGGATGGCTCACAGATGAATGACTAGCACTGCTTTCACATAAAATGTGAAGAAACATTTGTTTTTTCAATAAATGTATAGTTTGACTATAAGCCCACAGGAGACATTGTAATGTACCCAACCTGAAAATCAAATTATTTAAGGTTGGTTATACTAATAACGGCCAGTAACCATCTGCTAAAGTGAACTATAAAACCAAGCAAGCCAGAGGCACAAATGAGGTATGTTTGAAAGGAAGGGGGATGAAAGAAGACATGAACTTGCTTCCTGGTAGGTGGCAAGTGGGCTAGAACGAGGGTAATTGAGTAAAAGGAGGGAGCACCGCCAATACTTCTGAGCCTGCAGTTGAAGAGCCTACAAGGGTATAATGGCTTCTTAATCTGGTCCCTCTCTGGTTTACACCCATAGCCGACATTGTGAATTCTCATACATCATGGGTTCATGGGTTCGGTGGGATGGAGTGTCTCATCTGGCCTCAGAGACTCTTCTCTGCATCACCCTTGCTTTTGGCATGGGCATCTGTAAACTTCAGCTGTCTCTACATGTCTCTTCTTCTAGACGACCTTAGCTGAGCCTTCTCCAGCGGGCTAAGAGAATTCTCTTTTATGATTCCCCGGGTGGCTGGTTTCCTTTCTGAAGACAGAGGGTACTGTTTGCATCATTGGATCACGTGCAAGAGTCCACTCTCTGATGCTGTAACAGAATTTGAGTCTGAGTAATTCATGAAGATTATAGGTAATATTTAGGAACAGATTTGAGAAGCCTGAAAAGCGCAAGATCTGGTAAGGACCCACGATACTTCACTGTGAGGTTGAAAACAGAAAGTCAAGAGGACATGGAAAGAAAAGAGGAAACAGAGCTGAACTCCCATGACAACAACATACTGTATGGGAAGTTCCAGTCCATTCATTGTGCTCCATCCCCAGGCCTTAGTCTCCTCGCACCACAGCCCCGTGGCCCAACAGTACTGCCTCGAGACTACATCTCAGCATGAGCTTTGGTGGGGATGAGCCAGATGCTCCCCTGGGCACCACTCTTAGAAAACACCCTTTAATGTTGAATAGCAACTGAAAAGAACAATGATGGTTCATCTGGACTTGACCTAAGGGACACACCTCTGGGCATGTCTGTGAGAGGGTGTTTCCAGAGATGTTTAAAATAAAAGGTGGGAAATCTAATCTTGAATATAAGCGGTATCATCTCATGAGCTGGGGCCCGGGATTGAAAAGGAAGGGGGGGTAGGGGAAGAGGGTAAAGGTGAGCACCAGCACTCACCTCTCTCCACTTCCTGACTGTGTATGCTGAGTAACTCCTGTTACTACAGCAGCAGACACTGTCACTGCCACACCTCCCCACCACGACAGACTCTACACTTGAACTGCGGGTCAAATCCTTTTCTTGTCCCATAAATTCTCTCAGGAATTTGGGTACAGCAGGAAGAAATGTAACTAATACAACCTCCAAGAAGGACTGTTTGGAAAAGAAACGCTAACAAGTAATTATGTACAAAATTCTTAGCTGCTTTTTTTTTTAACTTCTGCACATATTCACTGTAACTGCATCTGTAGTTTTCTTTTGAATGCACCTTGTTAATCAAACTAGTAAAATGGTAGTGAGTCAGGTCTTTAGCTTCCTCACCTCCACATGGGTGATGACATCACAGCATCTGTTTTTCTAGGCTCGTGGGTGGTGAGGGAGGCTGTAAGAAGGGATTACGTAATCATATATGAAAACAGTCCTTCTATAAAGGATAAAGTCCCAACACATTATATAGCTAGTGGTCAGACCCCTGTCCCTCACATCAAAACTGCCTTCTCTGCTCACCTCTATTTAATATTATCAACATTCTCTGCCTACAGTCTTTGGTTTGCTTGGTACATAGGCAGGACTCTGCCTCTTGTCTCAGGATTGCCAAACCTCTGACATTTCACACTGCAGAGTCAACATTCACTACATGTCTGTGACAAATGACCTGGAAAACATCATAGTGACCTCATTCTCTCAAATTGTACTGGACACATTAAACAGGACAGGCTGGGTGTGGTGGTGCATGCCTTAATCCCTCCATTCAGGAGTCAGAGGCAGGCAGGTTTCTTTGAGTTTGAGGCTAGCTGGGTCTACAGAGAGAGTTCCAGGCAAACCAGGATTACATACCAAGACCATGTATCAAACAAAACAAAAACAGGACAGGACAGAAAAAGAAGAAAAAAATGAACCTAGTAGCAGGCTATCATTTGCTCTGCTTTCTAAATAACTAATTCTATTTATTTTCCTGGATATTTCCTGTAAGCCTATGAAGCAACTCACATTGCCCTTCTTTTCTGTGAAAAGGATCTGGTCTCACTGAATTGGTTATCATGCAAAGGACACACAGTTCGTCATGGGAAGGGCCAGCACTTTTGCCCAGAATTCCACACCGCCTTCCCAGGTCAAGACCTATACTCCAGGAGTTAATGGTCTCCAGCATCTCTGATATCACAGAATCAGTGGCCTTGATTTTAGTCCAGCCGCTGGACTAGAGCTGTGGATACTGAGGAAAAAGGTTATGGTCAAAGCCAGAGAAAAAGAGAAAAATTTCATCAGCAGATGAATATACATACATATGTGTATATGAATATATATATGTGTGTATATATATATATATATATATATGTTTGTGTGTGTGTATACATATAGTTTCTGTTGCATATATATGTATATGTATATATATATATATATATTCACATATATATATGTCATCATTGTGAAATCTGAGGAAAGTGGAGAGTAGAATGGTGGACACCATAGACTGGGAAGGAGGAAAGGGACTTAGATGTACAGGGGCTGGCTAGTGTGTACAAGGCTGTATCTTAAGAAGAGAAATGGCTTCTGGCTTTCCATCACTAGAATGAGATGCCCAAGTTAACTGATTTCTAAACTAGGGTAGCTGATGTTGAATGTTTTGGATGACATTTTTGGGAGGCCCACCCCATGAGCAGATAGAACCACTGTGTTTTGTTTTGTTTTGTTTTGTTTTTTTGTTATAAAACTTAAGTTCTGATTTTATTAAGAGTCAGTTTTCTTTTTCTTTTTTTTTTTTTGAATTTTATTTTTTTCTTATCAGTTACATTTTATTAACCCTGTATCCCAGCCGTGTCCCGCTCCCTCATTCCCTCCCAGTCCCTCCCTCCCTCATCTCCACCGTGCCCCTTTCCAAGTCCACTGATAGGGGGGACCTCCTCTCCATTCATCTGATCCTGTTTTATCAGGTATCTTCAGGACTGGCTGCAAAGATCTCCTCGTGGCCTAACAGGACTGCTCCTCCCTTGGGGGGTGGGGAGGCCAAAGAGCCAGTCATTGAGTTCCTGTTAGAAATAGTCCTTGTTCCCCTCACTATGGGAAACCAATTGGTTACTGAGCTGCCACAGGCTACATCTGAGCTGAGGTTCTAGGTTATATCCATACATGGTCCTTGGTTGAATGTCAGTCTCAGAAAAGACCCTGTGCCCAGATATATTTGGTCCTTGTGGAGCTCCTATCCTATCCTTTCCCCATCAGACTAACTCCCCTTCTTTCTTATGGTTCCCTGTACTCTGCCAAAGGTTTTGTCATGAGTCTTTGCTTTGAAAACACTGCTAGTTAGAGTCTTTCAAATGCTCTCAGTAGACTCCTGTCATACGTTCAATGCACATCCCATCTGTCTTTCTAAATGAGGATTGATCATCTTACCCCATGTCCGCTCTCTTGATTATCTTTTTTAGGTGTACAGATTTCATTATGTTTATCATTATAGGTCTATATAAGTGAGTATATACCGTGTTTGTCTTTCTCCTTCTGGGATATTTCACTCAGGATGATCTTTTCTAGATCCCACCATTTGCCTGCAAATTTCATGATTTCCTCCTTTTTGATTGCTGAGTAGTATCCCATTGTGTAAAAATACCACAATTTCTGTACCCATTCCTCCGTTGATGGACATCTGGGTTGTTTCCAGGTTCTGGCTATTACAAATAAAGCTGCTATAAACATGGTTGAGCAAATATCCCTTTTGTGTACTTGAGCAAACTTTGGGTATATACCTAGCAGTGGTATAGCTGGGTCTTGAGGAAGCACTATTCCTAATTGTCTTAGAAAGCGCCAGATAGATTTCCAGAGTGGTTGTACCAGTTTACATTCTCACCAGCAGTGGAGGAGGGTTCCCCTTTCTCCACAACCTCTCCAGCATGTGTTGTCCCTTGAGTTTTTCATCTTGGCCATTCTGATGGGTGTAAGGTGATATCTCAGGGTCGTTTTGATTTGCATTTCCGTGATGGCTAATGAGGATGAGCATTTCTTTAAGTGTTTCTCTGCCATTCAATATTCCTCTGTCGTGAATTCTCTGTTTAGCTCTGTTCCCCATTTTTTAATTGGATTACTTGGTTTGCTGCTTTTCAGCTTCTTTAGTTCTTTGTATATACTCGATATTAGTCCTCTGTCAGATAAAGGGTTAGTGAAGATTCTTTCCCAATCTGTAGGCAGTTGTTTTGTTTTGATGACAGTGTTCTTTGCTTTACAGAAGCTTTTCAGTTTCATGAGGTCCCATTTATTGATTGTTGCTCTTAGAGCCTGTGCTGTTGGTGTTCTGTTCAGGAAGTTGTCTCCTGTGCCAATGAGTTCTAGGCTGTTCACCACTTTTTCTTCTAACAGATTTAGAGTATCTGGTTTTATGTTGAGGTCTTTGATCCACTTGGACTTTAGTTTTGTGCAGGGTGATAAATATAGATTTATTTTCATTTTTCTGCATGTGGACATCCAGTTGGACCAGCACCATTTGTTGAAGATGCTGTCTTTTTTCCATTGAATGGTTTTGGCTTCTTTGTAAAAAATTGAGTATTCATAGATGTGTGGGTTTATTTCTGGGTCTGCTATGCGGTTCCATTGATCCTCCTTTCTGTTTTTATGCCAATACCATGCAGTTTTTATTACTATTGCTCTGTAATACAACTTGAGATCGGGGATGGAGATACCTCCAGATGATCTGTTGTTGTACAGGATTGTTTTGGAGATTCTGGGTTTTTTCTTTCTCCATATGAAGCTGAGAATCTTTTTTTCAAGGTCTGTAAAGAATTGAGTTGGTATTTTGATGGGAATTGCATTGAATCTGTAGATTGCTTTTGGCAGGATGGCCATTTTCACAATGTTAATCCTACCAATCCATGAGCACGGGAGATCTTTCCATCTTCTGAGATCTTCTTCAATTTCTTTCTTCAGAGACTTGAATTTTTTCTCAAACAAGAACCACTGTTTTATGGTGCCCAGTGGGGAAACCAAATGGCCGTGGTGAGGAGAGTTTGGCAGAGCAAACCTCATGGCTAGAAGGCTAATGAATAAGAAGAGGCCTTAGTCCTACATTTAATGGCTTGCCCCCAAAGGTCTAAGAACCGCCCATTCATCCCGACCTCCTAAGGAACAGCACCACCCTGGGGACCAAACCTTTAATGCCTGGTCCTGAGCAGTGTGGGGGTTGGGGCATGACGGTGAGCACCCAAGCCGTAGTGCCACGATGAACAATTGTGGTTCAGAATAGCTAGCAGAATAGTGAGAATTTTGAATGTTCCTGCAAAAAGAAATGGCAAATGCCGGGAGTGTTGAGGAGGTAACCTAATGATTAGATTACACTGGATAGATGGACTCAAACACTACATGGTAAGCCTGTGCAAAACTAGTTACCAACTGAAATTACTTTTAAAAACTTTAAGTAGCTCTTATCCACTTCACAAGTTAATTTTATCCATTTACAAATCATCTTCATTCTATTTACAAACGTATCTTACGGTTCATAAATATGTACCTGTATGTGTCTGTGGATCCATGTGCAGCGTGTGCAGAGGCCAGAGGTTGGAATCATGTGTCTTCCTCAATCACTTTCTAGCTAATTGAGAGAGGCAGGTCTCTCACACAATCGAGAGCATGCCAACTTAGCTAAAGCCAGACGGGCCAGCAAGCCCGAGGGATCTGGTCTGCCTCTTCCCGGTGCTTTGATGGCGGCCATGCACCACAGCACCCATCTTTTATACCTGCAGGTTCCAGGGGAACTGAACTCGGGTCTTTATGTTTGCATGACAAGCAGTCTATGTGCTGAGCCGCCTCCACAGCCGCACAATCTGTGTTTGGATCATTTTTCTCCGCTCCATCTAAACCTTCATAAAACTTGCATGCATTTTCATTTCACATGGGATTTTATCTTACATAACCAAACTAAGTTTCTCTTTCTTCACAAAACACCCATGACCTTTCTCTTAGGTAAGAGACCACGATTATGGACTGAAACCCTGGCAGGAAAAGCAGAGTTAGACAAAGAAAATCTTCATAAACAATAATTAGAATAATAATTAAATGCCAGAAAAGGGCAAAGGCATGCACTCTCTTAAAAAACCTTAGGAGAAAATAAACGAGGATAAACCCGCTGTGAAAACCTTTCGGGCTATCTTTAAAAGCTTTCCCAAATTTCCAATGGCTGTTATTAGCGATTCTTAATGCATGAGGTCGTCATTCCAGAATAAATCTTTCAGTAATTCAAAACAAGGACTCTTCAGTAAATAGTTGAAATTAAGGGGAGAGTCCGAGTCATCTGGTTTCCATTAGGATGATAAAATAGTTCACTTGAAACCTTTTACAATACACTTTGTTACAGGGAGGTGTCTGCATGGCTCACTCCATCACCGGCCATTTGACACAACATAAAAAGCTTCAAAAGCCATGTTAGGCCTCTTAATCAAAAACTAATTGTAATAGATATTGGGGAGTGTTAGCACGGTGACCGAGAGGTTGTAGCAGTGCCGGGGAAGCGGCAGTGAACATTAAACACAACCCTGGGTGGATAGGGCTTATCTCAATTTCAGAGCTCAGCTCTAAGTACCGCTGGCCAGTATCTCCCGCCTCTTGCTCGGTGCCACTTTTGGAGTTAATTGCCCCGTAAGGCTACATCGTCTTAATGAAATTTATAACACTGTCAAAGATCTTGGGAGACATGGCCACGGTTTAGGAGACTTTACAGAAAACAGAGATATAAACAGAGGGGAAAAGAAAATACATACTAGGAGCCTAATGCATGCCAGGCTGGACAGAGCTGGTGCAGGGCTCCCAGGCCTAGAGGGGGGAAGGGAGAGAGGCATCCTCAGCACATTAACCCTTTCAAGCCTGTGAGGAGATCCTCACTGAGGAGTTCTTATGGAAGGCAGAAGCTGGTAGGATAGGGCCAATGCTAGGGTTCACTGATGAGGCTTATGAGGCTGGAACCACCAAAAACCCAGGGTTGATTGGAGGTTTGTCACACACTGGTGCCTGTTAGCATGTCAAAAATATGGCCCGTGCTCAGCAATGTTTCCAGGACCGATAATGGAATAAATAATCTTCTTGCATAGGATGAAGTTCTTCTTGATTTTCGGGGTCCTTTAATGTTAGTTCCCTACAGTCATCTCCTTGACAAACCCAGGGTTTCATTAATCACCCACCTGGTCACAGATGGCCACTCCATAGCTTTCCTTTCAGCCTTCTTCATGTTTGCCAACTGTGACAAAGGAGTATATTAAAGACTAAAGACTACAGGCAATTTTAGATGGTGGATTGGATCTTAAAATGGCAAAAGAAAGAAATTAAGAAGAAATATCAGAAGGAGATGACAAAAGAACAGAGAGAATGCTAGTGAAATCGGATCAAGCCGGGAGCTTAATAAGTAGAACTGTTTTTAATGGTACGTATTTTCTCAGCATCATGATGTCATAACACTCTAACACTGAGGCAAGCTGGAAGTGTGTCAAAAATTTTCAGTGGCATTTTGCATTTTTCTGAAATTCTAATATCATCCTGAAGTTAAAAAAAAAAAAACTTTTGAAAATAACTGATTTGCTACAAGAAAGATAACTATAATAACTAAGATAACTATGTCTTTGCACCAAACTGGCACTCAGATAATTCTAAGTTAATATTACTGGAGGAAAAGCACAACCTTCAGCTAGCTAGTTGTCAGCTCGCTAGAAAAGCCATGACGTAATAGCTCGTTCTCGCTCCTACGTCCTTATGTTTTTGACTCTGTGCGGTGGCGTCACTTTGTGCCGGTTAGAGCAGTGTTGTTTGTTCACTGGTATGAGAAACGAAGTCAGAAGTCAGGGAGATGGCGACGTGGGTAAGGGGTTTACAGACACGAGGATCTGCGATGAGACCTTGCCTCCCTTGCACAAAGCCAGGTGTGCTGGCTGCAGTCTCAGGAGGGAAGAAGAGACGGGAGAAGCCCTGATCTCACTGGTATGTCAGGACAGCTGAATCAGTAATCTCTGGGTCACAGTGAGACCCTCTGTCTCAAAAAGCATAGTGGACCTCTCCTGAAAAACAGAGCCTCGAGCCTACATACACACACATTGGTACATGCATCTGCACACTGTGTACCTGCACATACATGAACAACACATATGCCGGCACAAACACACACACAAAAGAAATGATACCATTACCATTGTGGGTTTTTTTCTTTTTCTTATTTGTAGTAACACTAACATTAAAACTAATTTTAAACTCTTTGATTTTTAAAAACTAAATGGCTATTTAAGAACAGAGAAGAACAGAGAAGGCTGGCACTAATTATGACTGTAGAATAGCCCAGCATTTCAGCTGTCATCTATATCATGATTTCCAAGTGCAGGCTTCTGGCTTGGACATCTGCCCTGTGCTTCCACCCAAACACCTACGTTCCAACTAGGCTACTGCCCTCATCTCTCCTGCCTGTCTGGTCCAGGCCCCCCGGACTGCTGAAGTTCTTCCCTGTGTATTGCATTTTGAAAAACCACCGCATCTTTGAGGCCGAGATTCTCATGCAGCTCCACATACACCATGCAAATCTCTGCTCTTGTTCCTTCCTACATTCTCTGCTGTTTATGCATGTGGAAAACTTCTCCACTATACTTTCAAGCCCCACAAGGAAAGAAATAGGCTGATTTACTCTATCGACTTTTAGCTTTTCATCTGAAACTATCTGAGGATAGATCCAAAGAAAAATAAAACTGCATATATGTTTAATGATTACAATGCCAAAGATCTTATTCTTTACATTAGAATAACTGGGCTATTTTAAGTGCCAATAACTAATGCATGCTGGAGAATTTGTTTTTCTCTGGCATTGGAGAGACCAGAAAGGCTCTGCTCTCACGTTGGTACTGCATCCCAGTCTCCGGTCTGTTGCTCTTGACAGCCTTATTCAGAGATAGCTCAGCACCCCAACCTAAAATGGGAGGACGAGGTAAAGGGCCAGCAATTTCCTTGTAAGCTTTCATATAGTGAAAACAAAATGGTTACACCTACCTGTAAAGGCTCCCAGGAACTCCATTCCAGTGAGAAGATCTTCTAACCATCTAAAAAAGACAAAAGGAAATGGTGTATTGGTGGGGAATTTTGAACTGGGCCAGTTACCATGTCTTAGAAAAATTAACCATTTAGAATAGGGTCCTGTGTCCCAGAACGTTAACTAATAGCCACTGCATTCTCTTCTCCTGAAACACAGCAACTAGTAACCTAATTTTGTCTCTGTGGATTTGTCTGTTCTCCACATTTCCATATAAATAGAGATGTATGCTATATTGTCTTAAGTGTCTAGCTCCTCTCACTGAGTGGATGTTTTCAAGGTTCATCCATATATCATACAAATAGCTCATTGCTTTTTATAATCCAATATGATTCATTGCATGGATGTAGTGTACTTTGCTTATGTGATAACCAGGTAGTCAGTGCTTGACTGGTTCCCACTTTTGTCACCTTGAGTAATGTGGCCAACAAGATTCTTGAGGCTCTTTTTGTTTACATAGGTTTTCTGTTCTCCCTTGTCTACGCCTAAGTGTGAAATTACCATGTCCTATGAAAACTCTGTGTTTTGCGTTTTGAGAAACCAACACACTGTCTTCTAAAGTGGCTGCAGTATTTCTTACTCCCGTCCACAGTGCATAGGGGTGAAACTTTCTCTCCTCACTAAGTCTTGCTATTATCTGTCTTCTGTTTTCACCATCTTAGTGAATATGTACAGTGGAATGCCAGTGTGGTTTTTATTTGCATTTTCCTAAAGATAAGTGATACTGGCTGTCTTTTTATGCACTTATGGTTACTTTGTCCATTTTCTTCAGAGAAAAGAATCTACTCAAGTCCTAGTACACAAAGCCCTTGTGTGCCTGTGTGTGTGTGTGTGTGTGTGTGTGTGTGTGTTGGGGTTTACACATTAAATGCATATGCCAATATGCCAACCGTGGTATTGTGATCTGGGCACCATCCACCCTGTTTTCTGTTTTTGTTTTTGAGACAGGGTCTCTCATGGATCCAGAGTTTTTCAATTAAGCCAGATTGGCTGTCCAGTGAGTTCCAGATATCTGTCTGTCTGAGCACCCCAAACACTTAGTCTGAGCACCTGCTCCATGCCTGACTTTTATTTTGCCATTTTTCTTTATTAATTACACTTTATTCACTTTGTATTCCCCCCCCCCCATGTCTGACTTTTTATGTGGTTTCTGGAGATCAAATTCAGGACTTTACTCTTAGATGGTAAGCCTTTTGCTGGCTGAGCCAGCTCCTTAGCCTCTCAAAGCCCATTTTTCAGTGAATCTTGTCGTCTTATTGTTTAGTTTTGAGAGACGTTTTATATTTTGTCTGCAAGTTCCTCATAGGATATATTACCTGAAAGTACTTCTTTGTCCTGTGACTTGTGTTTTCACTTTCTTGATGGTGTTTTGAAGCATAAAGGTTTCTTATTAACTTTGATAAAGTCAGATTTACACTCTTTTTTTTTTCTCATTGCTTTTGCTTCTGGTGCCATATTTAGAAAATTGTTGCTTAATTCTGCTTTAGCTCTTACATTTACTTCTATAATCTATCTTAGCAGCATTTTTAAAGATGACATGGGATGGGTGGTCTAATTTTATTCTTCTGCAAATAGACACTCATTTGCCCAGGATCGTATTTTTAGAAGGTTATATTTTCTTGTACCAACTTGTCTTGATACTGTTGTCCAAAATCAGTTGACTGGAAAAGGGTTAATTTCTGGACTCTCTGTTCAATTCCATTGGTTGCAATATTTACCTTTCTGCTGAAACCATACTTGCTTGACTGCTCTAATGTTACAGTTAGTTTCAAATTTTGCTCATTTTCAGGATTGTTTTGTTTTGCCTACACTGGATCCTGTAGATCACCATTGAATATTTAGAATCAGCCCATTTCTGCAAGAACAAACTGGCAGGAATTTTCAAAGGACTTGCACTGGCTCTGCAGATGAATATTGAGTCTTCTAGTTCCTGACCACAGTATGTCTTTTCAGCTGTCAAGAGCTTTAGCTCGTTTCTGTGAGTTTGGTAGTGTTCAGTGTCTGAATAGTGCATATGTTTTGTTGAACTTATTCTAAAGTATTTTCCTATTTTTGATGCCAGTAAATTGAATTGTTTTCTTAATTGCATTTTCAATGGCTTATTGCTAATGTGTCAAAATAAAAATAATCTTTGTATATTGATCTTGTTTTCTACAACCTTGGTAACTCATCTATTAACTCTAAGAAAATTTGGATTGATTCTTTGAGATTTTCTATGAATGAGATAGTATAATCTTTAACTGGAGATAATGTTAGTTCTTCCTCTCCTTGGTACATTTATGTTTATATTGCCTTCTGGTTGACCTTTTTTCATCCTTACAAAGTTTCTATCCTCTTCTTCAGTAACAATTTTTTTCTTACTGTCTATATCCTCTGAATTAATAGAGCCACTCTCACTGGCTTTTGGTTACTATTTGCCTGTTTCTAATTTTGACCTATTGTTTCCTTGGGTGTGAAGTTTGTGCATTATAGAAAAGACAGTTGTGAAACTTTTCTTTTTCTTTTCTGAAACTGAGGACTAAACTCAACACCATTACTTGTGACAGAAGTGTTCTACCACTAAGCTAAATATTGAGCCTCACACCCTTTTCTTTAAACTATCTTTTTAATACATTTGATGATCTCTGAATTTTCATTGGAATGGTTGTTATATGATATAAGCTATTTGTAAATTCATGTTTCCATCTGCCACTTCTGCTATATATTTTCTATATATTTTTCATTATTTCTATTTTTTCCTAATTTCTACTCTTTTATGAGATATTTTTACAGTACTATATTTTAGTAATTTCATAGTTGGTTTTAGTTATTTTTCATAGTGGTGACCCTGAATATTATAATTATAACTTACAGCAATGTACTTTATACTAATATCAACTTGATTGTAACCATGCGTAACAACTTTGGTATAACATAGTTCCATCTCCTTCGCCTTCTTTGTTCAAGTATAGCCATAAACTACATATTTATACAACTATTCTACTGAATACTTCTTGCCTATGAAGTTGTTTTATAAATAAAAGCAAAGACTGACAAAGACTCACTCATTCTGATTTTCGTACTGACTTGTGTGGCTTCATTTACCCATTTCTGAGTTACTTCCTGCTGTCCTTTTATCTCTACGTGAAGGACTCACTTTATTACTTCTTCTAGAGCATGTCTATTGCTATGAGGATTCTCTTTCTTTTCTTCCCACCTTCTCCCTCCTTTTTCATTGTCCTGGACTTTATTTCTTGTCCAATTTTGCAGGATAATTTCTGCCTGGGAGGGAATTCTGTAGGCATTGTCTTTCTGTCTTCTTGCACACTATGGGAAGAGTTGCCCTTTTGGTCTCTATTCTTCTAGCAGGAAGGCAGCTGCTGATCCTACTAAGGAATCTGTGGTTTCCTTGCTGCTTTCAACATTCTTTCTTTTCCCTTGTCTTTAAGAAGTTTGACTTTGATTGATCTGTTCTTCCTTCCAAAAGTAGTTTAAGCTAACTCCTTCTGGCAGTGTAAGTTTTGAACTCATGCAGACACATATCTGATGTGCAAAATGGAAATAACAATGCTTACCACTTTGATTTTTGAAATAAGATCATTACATTTTCTATCATGTAGAAAACAACTCATATATGTCTATTTTTCTTATAACTTGGATCCCTTTCGGGAGCATGTTGGAAGAGTACACTCCTTTGCCTTGCTGTTTCTTTGGATGTGTGTAGGAGGGCCTCTGAACTGCTCTCAGCTCAGCTCAAATATGATCTTCCTAGAGAGGTATCCTTTGATTCCCTCAAAGAACCCCTCCATCAGTCATTCTCTTTCCCATTGCAGATTGAGTATCACCTGGCCATGTGCCTGCAACCAGAAATGTTTCAAATTTATTGGTTGATTCTCTTCTGTCATATTGGCATATACACAATGGGAGAGATTTGGGTGGGACCCAGTTGTAAACATGAAATTAATTTACATTTCAGATATACTTTATCCACATAGACCGAAGACAATTATGCATAATACTTTTAGTGAACATAAATTCTGTCTCTACTCTAGTATGTGAGGTCAGAATAGATGCCGTGATGGTGCTCCAAAGGTTTCTAATTCTGAAGCATTTTGGCTATTTAATTATCCAGTTAAAGGTACACTTAATTGACAGTGGTCCACAGAGATACAAGTTCATCTAGGACTGGGGATTTGTTGAGATGCAGTGTTTTCTATCCAAAACCAGGAGTCTGGGCAACACAGGGAATTTTCATTCTTTGTTACGCTTTTTGTTTTACCCCCCTCATAGTCTTTACTTCTTTCTGATAATTCAGTTTGTTCTTCTGAATGGTTATTTATCAGTTCCTTCACTGTAGAATGCAATCCCTGTGAGGGTCCAGGCAAGGCTTCTTTGTATGATTTGACTCTTATGCTAAGTACTAAGCACTAACTGCTGAAAAGCAAATCCATTTCTGCATTAATTGACTGAGTCCTTTTGATGTGTTTGCATGCGCATGTGGTGTCCATGGCTGTGGCTGCATGCGTGTGGGTACATGTGTAAGTGTGTGTGCGCATGTGTGGAGGCTCACAGTTGAAATTAAATTGCTAAACTAATTACTTTCCACCTTATTTATCGAGACAGGGTCTTTCACTGAAGCCGGAGCTCTGATTTCAGCTATTGTAGCTAGCCAGCCTGTCTTGGGTAATCTCCCAGCTCTGTCTTCCGAGGGCCGAGATCACAGGTGGTTATCAAATCTTCCCCACTTCTGTGTAGGTGATAAGGACTGACTATGGAGACATTCCCAGGCCTGATGCCTTTTTTTTTTTTTTAATAAATGCTTAGTAATCCAATCTCCAAGTTGAAGAACATAATAAGAAATACAAAGTTCTGTAGGACACCACCACTAATGAAAGAGCATTTTGTGCAGTGAAAATGCCAAGTGCTTTAAACTCTTGTGCCTCCGAGGTTGTAAGGAATCCAAATAGCTATGTTCTTTCTCTTCTGATCCCCAACTATGTAATGAAAGAAATGCAGACATTTCTACCATTT